AATGTTTTGAGAACGATGAGGGCAATGAATGTACAAACGTGCTTTACACAATTGATGTATGGATGGATTGTGATGAGTTGTATGAGCCCCTAATAAAATTTAAAAAATAATAATATTAAAAAAGAATGAAAAGGGTGTGGAGGGCCTAATAAGTTTTGGGATTTATGTTCTATGGCTTTGCTTCATCTGTAAAACACTTGTTACTAGATCACTTTCTACAAGAGGCAACTGAGTTTTTTTTTATAAAACTCAAAGTGGAAAGTCTACAAAGTCTACAAAGGGAAGTTTTAAGAGCTGATACAAGGGAAGCAACACCATTCATTTACTATAACCCCAATAATATTTCCTGAGAGTAAGAGGCTAAGAATACCATTGTTGCAGGAGGAAAAGCTGTGGGAGGAGAGCCAAACAAAAAGCTTCCGCTATCAGCATCATCTTCAAAGAGGAGGGACACTCTCTGGGTCTTCTTTTGGCTACACAAACAAACAAGAGGTAAAATTAAAGACAAATCTCATTCTTAATTAGTATTTGAATTATTATTGAATTTGCATAATTGAAATCAAACAGGAGAAACATTTGAAGTTGGTAAAGTGTATGCATAGTCGATCATCAGTCTTTGTTCTTCATTCTCATGAAGAAGAGGCCAGAGCCCTCTTCATCTTGCCCCTTTCTAGTCACTGCTAATCCAATGCAGGTATGCTGTTAGAGCTTTGCCAAAGGCTAAGAAAATTCTTAGGGTTTCCAAGTTTAGCTTTCTCTCTCTTTTACCACCTCCTCGGCAAAACAAGAACCAGAAACAGTGCATATTCCAGAGTGGTTGGGAAGGCAACTGCTAAAGGACATTTCAAGTCCAGGTAAGTCTCTGGCCAAGAAATTATAGCCTAGTGTTTCACTAGCTGCTTTATCCTAAGCACGTTTCTATGACAACCCAAGTCGAAGAATACATTTAGCTTTCTCATCAGCTTCTTATACCCATCTCATCTTCTCTGAGAAACTAGAAAACTAAAAGCTTGTTTTCACGTTCATCACATCACTATACTTGAACTATTACAACACCTACATCCAGCCATAGCTCTCCTCGCTACCTTCCTTATGTCCATCTTCATCTGTCTCCTCACCTAGGTTTCTGCCTTGGGGTGTCAATAACTGTTTGTCAAAATAAATACTGATTAGGATATTTTATTATTTTTGTTGGTAGATGCCATAAAGTCTATGTACCACAGAACTACACACTGCCCAGTCCTGTGACATCTTTACAATTGTTCTTATGTTTGAGCCCATTATTACAGCCATTGTTATCACTCCATTTTATCCAGGGCCTTCCACTTCTTCACTACCATTCTACCATACCAACTATGATGTCTTTCTCCAGGGACCAGTCTCTCTTGATAACGTATCCAAAGAATGTAAGACGAAATCTCACCATCTTTGCTTCTAAGGGACATTCTGGCTGTATTTCTTCCCATAGAGATTTGTTTCTTCTTTTGGCACTCAATGGTACATTGAATATTCTTCACCAATACTATAGTTCAAATGAATCAATTCTTCTTACGTTTTCCTTATCCAATGTCCAATTTTCATATGAATATGATAGGTGACTGAAAAGACCTTGGATTTATGAGGTGCACCTTAGTCTTCAAAGTAACACCCTTGCTTTTAAACACTTTAAAGAGGTCTTGTGCAGCATTTACCCAATGCAATGCATCTCTTGATCGCTTGATAATTGCTTCCATGAGCAGATTGTGGATTCAGGCAGGACAAAACCCTTGACCACTTCAATCTTTTTCTGTTTATCATTATGTTAGCAATTGGTCCATTGGTGAGGATTTTTGTTTTCTTTACATTGAGTTATAATCCATACTGAAGGCTGCAATCTTCATCCACAAGTGTTTCAAGTTCTACTCACTTTCAGCAAACAAGTTTGTGCCATATGCATACTGCAGGTTGTTAATAAGCCTTCCACCAATCCTGATGCCGAATTTTGCTTCATATAATCCAGTTTCTCTGATTGTTTACTCAAGTGTGGAGAAAGGTTATAACCATGATACTCATCTTTCCTGCCTTAAGTCATGTAGTGTTCCTTTATTCTGTTCACACAACTCTTCACCCATGAACAAATTCCCTATAAGCACAATTAAGTGTTCTGGAATTCCCATTCTTCTCAAGGACGTCCACAGTTTACTATGATCCACATAATTAAATGTCTTAGCAAAGTCAATAAAACACAAGTAAACATCTTTCTGGTATTTGCTGCTTTCAGTCAAGATACATTTCACATAAACAATGATAACCTTTGTTCCATGTCCCCTTTTATATCCAGCTTGAACCTCCGGCAGCTATCATTGTACTGCTGTAACTGGTGTTGGATGATCTTCAGCTAAAATTTACTTACACGTGTTATCAATGATATTGTTCTATAATTTATGTATTATGTTGGGTCACCTTTCTTTGGAATAGGTACGAATGTCAGTTGGCTAAGCAGCTGTCTTCTAAATGTTTTGACGTGGACAGTGCTTCCAGTGTTTCATGAGCTTGTTGAAACATTTCAACTGGTATTCCATCAATTTCTGTTTGTTGTTTGTTTGTTTTAGCTTGAACTTCTTCCTTCAGTACTACTGGTTCTTGCTCATATGCTACCTCTTGAAATGGTTGAATGTTGCTAGTTCTTTTTGGTACAGTGACTATGTGCATCCTTTCCATCTTCTTTTGATGCTTCTGCATCAGTCAATATTTTGCCCATAGAGTATTTCAATATTGCAACTCGGGCTTGAAATTTTTCTTCAGTGCTTTCAGTTTAAGATATGCTGAGCAGGTATCAGGCATCAAAGAACAAAAAATCATATCATTGTAAATGAGGGTGAGTGCAGAGTGGAAACCCAAAGCCCATCTGTAGGCAACTGGACACCCCCTTACAGAAGGGTCGTGGGGAGAAGACAAGCCAGTCTGGGTACAGTGTAGCAATGATGAAACATACAACATTCCTCTAGTTCTTAAATGCTTCCTCCCCCACTATCACGATCCCAATTCTACCTTACAAATCTGGCTAGACCAGAGGATGTACATTGGTACAGATAGGAACTGCAAACACAGGGAATCCAGGACAGATGATCCCTTCAGGACCAGTGGTGAGTGGCTATACCGGGAGGGTGGAGGGAAGGTGGGGTACAAAGGGGGAACCGATTACAAAGATCCACATATAACCTCCTCCCTGGGGGATGGACAACAGAAAAATGGGAGAAGGGAGACATCAGACAGTGTAAGATATGACAAAATAATAATAATTTATAAATTATCAAGGGTTCATGAGGGATGGGGGAGCCGGGGGGAGGGGGAGGAGCCGGGAGGGAGGGGGGGGAATGAGGAGCTGATATCAAGAGCTCAAGTAGAAAGTAAATGTTTTGAGAATGATGATGGCAACAAATGTACAAATGTGCTTGACACAATAGATGTATGTATGGATTGTGATGAGTTGTATGAGCCCCCAATAAAATGATTTTTTTTAAAAGAGATATGCTGAGCATATTTTTCCTTTTTGGTTTTCTAACTCTAGGTCTTTGTACATTTCATTCGTGGTTGTGTTTTGGCCCTTGTGGTCTTACTTTAATTTTCTTCAACATTAACCTGAATTTATATGTGAGCAATAGATGGTCTGTTCCACAGTCAGTCACTGCCCTGGCTTTAGCTGCTTATATTGAACATCTCCATCATCTTTTCCCACAGATGGAGTCAATTTGATTTCTGTGTATTCCATCTGGAGAAGTCCATATTGATAATTGCCCTTTGTGTTATTGAAAAAGAGTATTTGCGATGAATAAGTCATTGGTGTTGCCAACTTCTGTCATGATATCATTTCATTTCAATCAAGACCACATTTTCCAACTACGGTTTCTTCCTCTTTATTTCCAACATTGCATCACAACAGCCAGTAATTATCAGTGCGTCTTGATTATACATTTAACCAATTTCAGACTGTAGAAGTTGGTAAAATTCTTCAATTTCTCCATCACTAGCTTTAGTGGTTCGTGCATAACTTTGAATAATCGTTGTCCTGATTGGATTTTTGCACATGTAGATAGGACATTTTCCTATCACAGACAGCATTTTACTTCAAGATAGATCTTGAAGTGGCCTTTCTGATAATAAATACAATGCTATCCCTCTTGACTGCATCATTCCCAAAATAAAACATAAAACTTTTCTGATTCAAAATGGCCACTAGCAGTCCATTTGGCTCAAGAAAGCCTAGAATATTGATCTTTATGCATTCAATTTCATTTTTAACAACTTCTAATTTACTTGGTTTCATACTTTGTACATTCCAAGTTCTAATATGTTGGCAGCTGTTTCTTCTCATTTTCAGTCATGCCCCATCAGCAACTGAAAGTCCTGAAAGTTTGACCCCAGCAGACTTTACTCTATTTTGAGAAGGCAGCACTTCCTCAATCATATTTTGAGTGCCTTCCAGGTTGAGAGGCTCATCTTCTGGTATTGTCTCTGGCAATGTTCTGCTTCTGTTCATTAGGTTTTCAGTAGCTGACAATGTTTCCATAATATCCATAGGGTTTTCAGTGGGTAATTCCTCTTAAGTGGACAGCTGAGTCCTTAGTCTATTCTTAGTCTAGAAGCACTGTTAAAACTTGTGCACTTTGATTGACCCTGTTGGTATTTGAAATGCCAATAACAAAACCTTCAGCATCACAGCAGCATACAAGTTACCACAAAGTGACAGACGAGTGGTGGCAGGACCCTTTAGGGAACAGAAACTAAAAAATACGGAAAGACTTAGCACTGGACGACAGCAGTCCAAAATAACCAGGATTATACTTCCTGAGAGTTAAGTTCTCTTTTTCTGTTTTTTAATGTGATAAGGAATCATCCAGGAGTCTCTTGGTGGTACAAATAGGTAATAGCTGCTACCAACCAAAAGGTTGTCAGTTCAAATCTACAAAGAACTTCAGAAGAAACGCCTGACATATTTCTGAAAGACGGCAGTCATGAAAACCCTACTCTGATAAAGTTCTACTCTGAAAAATAACAGCAGCCTCGAGGCAGAATTAACTTGATGGAATTTAGTTTTGTTTGTTTTTAAGGAATTATCCAATACTAGTAATGACTATATGGGAACATTAGTAAATTAACAACAATAAACTTTCCAAACTCAATTTTAGCTAGAGAAAAATCATTTCAAAAACTGTTCACACTAGCTACCTCATTACTGCAGAATAAAATTAACATATGTACATATATATATCAAACCAAGCACCCTATACAGGGTTTCTGAGGCTCTAAACCTTTATGGGAGGAGACAGTCTCATTCTGAGTTCTCTGACCTAGCAAACATTCTTTCCCCAAATACCACAATGTTTCCCTGTTTTGCTAAATGTTTTAGAAAGGATGTAGGGTCAAATGCTGAGGAAATGGCCCTTCCAAATGGCAAAGTTAAGAATAGTCAACATGACCAAACTTTAATTTATTTCATCAGGCAGGCTAGTGGAGAAATAAAAACAAACTTTCCCCCAAATATTTTGAGATTAAGAAGAACTAAGACATTAGAAGTATAAAAAATGGGTAAGGATCTAGAAAGAAAAACATTTTCCAGTATCAGGAGTACCTAGCAAGTGAAAAGCCATTCCAAGACTCTCTCATTTGTGGGCTACTAGGTGATGGAGGATTAGCAGGTTACCTAACACGGAACAAATATTGATCACTGGTTATCAAAATACTGATTAAAGAACTTCTTAAAATTGACTGTTTCACCTGTTTTTAGCAATAGCAAACAGATCATCATCATTATCCTCTTCAAAAAGGTTGATCTTTTTCACAGTGTTTTTAGCTTCTGGGTTCTGGGTGATCTTAGAATCTCCATGTTCTCCTTTAGACCTGTTGTCAGATGCTGAATCAGTCTGTGAATCAGCAGTATGCCACTGGTCCTTAAAAAATAAAAATATAAGAAAAAGTCTATGACAATTGAGATTAAGATACATTGAAAGTAAAATTAAATGTATAATACTTAAAGTATTTTAAACTAAGTATCATA